GAGAACCAAAAGACTCTGATGCAACTTATTCCTAATGCTGTCCAAAATAATTTAAAAGTGTGAGAGAACTGGCCAAGTCCAAGAATTATTATGAATGTCCCCAAAAAGGCATCCTGAGCAGAGGAAACAATTGCTGGTGGGCTGCTGGGAAGGGCTAATAACATGGGAAGGTAAAGAGGTAGGACTGACATGAACTGTTCAAAAGCATATGCTCCAGGCATCCCTGACAAACCAGATAAACAACCTACTACACTAGGTTTATTGGGATGGCATATGTGCTCTGGTACAGGATATTTAATTCAAATCCTAGGGACAAACTAAAGCTAGCTCAGCCTTTCATAAAAGCTGCACCTAGCTCTAGTGGAGCCCTTCCTTTCCTTCATTCAGGCAACAGAAACTCAATGGGACACACAGTGTGCTTTGACTGTTTGAGTGGTATCATTCAGATGGTGGGGCACCAAGACAATTCTGTTCTTTATGGGCAAGCTAAAATCAGAAGTAATTCTGATTACACTCAATGTCTGCCTCACAGCTGGCTTCGGAATGTAATCTCTGGGGGCAGGCAAGTGGCGTGGTGGTTAAGGGCGCTGGATTCCTACATGGCCGAAAGCAGTTCGAGTCCCAGACCTGGTGGCTTGGTTTCTCGCTTTCCCTTTCTCTCTATATATATCTCTGGTCAAATGAAAAAAAAAATAATAACAAATGAAATTAAATAAATCTTTAAAAAAAGAATGTAAGCTCAGAATAAGATGGCACATGAGGTTTTACATAGCAATCTCACTTTAAACTACTGAAGGTTAAAGAAAACGGCAAAGCCTCTCCATAAACTGAGGGGGAAAAAAAGACAGATACTGGAACAAAATATGCAAAGACAGGTGAAGAAGCTAGTCTGTAAGAAATAACCCCCAAGAATAAAAAAATAAAATAAGAAAACAAAATGATGAGGTTAGATCATTTAAAAAACGGGAACTAGAAGGTGTCGCAATGTAAAATTAGACGTTCTGTGGGACTGACCCACGTGAGAAGGTTCAGGTTTGCATCCGGTGATCTCCCTCAGCATGCTGGACTTGTGTACACTCGTGATTCTGGGCTGTCTGAGGCTGAGAATGATTTCACGTCAGGACCCTGTTAGGGGTGCTCTCTGTCTCTCTTGCTCATGGAAGAAATAAACTTTAAAAACCAGGTGGTGTGGTAGTTAGGTGACCTGACACCCACATGGCCAAACGTAGTTCAAATTCCAGACCCAGTGGCCTG